TGCAAAAAAAGGTCATGTGGTTGCAGATTGTTTTCAAAGGCATAATATACCTACTGCTGGACATGGGGCAGTTATTCAATGTCAAATTTGTTGGAAGTTTGGGCACTCTGATACCCAGTGCTATCACAAGACCAACTTTGCATACCAAGGAAGACCACCCTCAGTTAATCTTACTGCGATGCAAGCATGTCATACTCCTTCTGCACCACCTGAACAGTTTTGGGTTGCGGATACTGGTGCCACATCTCATATGACTTCAGAGCTTGCAAATCTTGATTTGGCTACTCAATATCAAGGCACAGATACAATAACCACTGCGAGTGATGCAGGTTTGACAATTTCTAGTATTGGTACATCTACACTGCAAGCTCCTACTCAGACACTTCAATTGCAAAATGTGTTGCATGTTCCTAAATTATCACAGCACTTATTGTCCATATATCAACTCTGCAAGGATAATCAATGTAGATTCATATGTGATGATATTTCCTTTTGGGTTCAGGACAAAATCACAGGGAAAATCCTACTCAAGGGACTGTGTAAAGCTGGCTATTACCCCATTCTGTTTAAATCTCCACAGAAGACACTACCTGCATCATCCACATTACATGCATGCTATCTAGCTAAACCAGTTACTACAAGCTTATGGCATCAACAATTAGGGCATCCCTCAAACACAGTCACTTCTGCAATGTTGCAACACACCAACGCTCCTGCATTCACAGATACATGTCCAACAATTTGTACTCCTTGTTTGCAAGGCAAATTTACAAAGTTGCCTTTTTCTTTTCCTGCAAAAGTCTGTAACCCCATTAGAGGTGATTCATAGTGATGTTTGGGGACCTACCCCTGTGTTGTCTTTTGAAGGGTATAGGTACTATGTTAGTTTCATTGATGAATGTACTCGATACACATGGATTTTTCCACTGAGAAATAAAGCAGAAGTGTTTCAAATACTTGTTAAGTTTCATGCCTTCTTAAGTACTCAATTTTCTGCCCATATTAAAACCTTCCAAAGTGATGGTGAATATACAAGTCATCAATTTCAACACTTTCTAGCATCCAAAGGCATTTTACATCAAAAATCTTGCCCATACACTCTAGAGCAAAATGGATTGGCCGAAGGGAAACACATGCATATTCTAGAAACTACCATCACATTATTGCACACAGCTAAACTTCCATCCAAGTTCTGGTTTTTTGCTTGTTCAACAACCATCTATTTGATAAACAAAATGCCTAGTATTTCTCTCAAAATGCAATCCCCTTACAAGTTGTTATTTGGTTAACCTCCAACCCTTACACATCTAAAAATATTTAGATGTGCCTGTTATCTTTTATTAAAACCTTACAATAGCTCTAAACTTTAACCCAAAACAACAACTTGTATATTTTTGGTATATGCAGAAAACTACAAAGGGTTTCTCTGTCTAGATGGGATCACAAACAAGGTTTATATCTCTAGGCATGTTCTTTTTGATGAAACACAATTTCCATATTCCACCACACCATTTGCTATACCTCAGTTGATCCAACCACCATCCAAGTCATAACTTCCTTTATCTGCATCATCCATACCATCAGTATCATTGCATAATCAAGTTACATTACCATCATCTCATCTTCACTCATCTTCATCTCGAGCTTCAGAGTCCTTGAATCCAATATCATTTAGTGCGACAGATTCCTTGACTACATCTACAGCCTCAGAGTTATTGGAAACACAATCATGTAGTGCTTCAGCATCTATTTCAACACCCTTACTACATCATTCAGCTACACAATTATCTTCTTCACCTACAGAATCTAGCCACCATGACTTTACACAGGTCCCTATCCCTGATGATCCTGATTTCCAACAAGACCAACTAATTGTTGATCTTCTTATACATATGAATTTGCATCCAATGCATACCAGGTCCAAAAGTGGCATTGTCAAAAGAAAGGTTTATTCTGCATCAGTGGCTATCAACTCATTACAACTTGAACAAAAAACATTCAAAGCGGCTGCAAAAATACCAGAGTGGTCGTCTGCAATGCAAGAGGAAATTGCTGTTCTACATTCTCAACAAACATGGTCTCTTATTCTTCTCCCACCCCATAAAAATCTTGTTGGTTGTAAGTGGGTGTATAGAATCAAACGAAATGCATATGGTTCGATATCTAGATATAAAGCACGGCTTGTTGCAAAGGGTTACAGTTAAGAGGAGGGCATTGATTATGGTGAAACATTCAATCTGGTGGTCAAACCAACAACCATTAGATTGATTCTAGCATTGGCAGCTCAGTTTAAATGGACTCTTAGACAACTGGATGTTAAAAATGCATTCTTGCATGGTTTACTCCACGAAGAGGTGTATATGGAACAACCTCAAGGCTTTCAAAGTTCTAATCATCCATTCAATTATGTATGCAAGCTTCAAAAATCACTATATGGTCTGAAACAAGCTCCTCGAGCTTGGAATGAGAGGTTCACAAGTTTTCTGCCAGGATTGGGATTTAAACAGTCTTACGCAGATTCTTCTTTATTTGTTAAACACACATCACAGGGTAAGATTGTTCTGTTGCTCTATGTTGATGATATGATCTTAACAGGCAGTGATCCTAAGTTGGTTTCTGATGTTATTGCTGATCTCACAAAGGAATTTGACATGAAGGATTTGGGTATTTTACACTACTTCTTAGGCCTACAGATTTAATACACTTCTGATGGCTTATTTGTCTTTCAGTCAAAAAATACACAGTAGTTAATTGATAAAGTTGATCTTCAAGATTGCAAACCGTGTGCTACTCCTTGTCTTCCCTATCACAGATTGCTAAAAGATGATGGGATACCTTATCACAGTCCTGACCAGTATCAAAGTATTGTTGGAGCATTGCAATATCTCACATTTACTCGCCCTGATATTGCTTTTTCAGTTAATCAAGCTTGTCAATTTATGCACAATCCTATGGAATCATATGTTATTGCAGTAAAACGAATCATCAGGTATCTCAAAGGCACTTCGGAGTATGGTATTCAATTTCGATCAGGACCAATCTATCTACAATCATATAGTGATGCTGATTGAGCTGGAGATCCAAATGACAGAAGATTTACATCTGGTTTCATTGTGTTTCTTGGTTCCAATCCAATTTCATGGACTTCGAAGAAGTAAAATACTGTTTCTAGGTCTTCCACAAAAGCTGAATATAGGGCTCTTGCTATCACTGCAGCTGAGCTTGCCTGGATAAGACAATTATTTTGTGATCTTCACATTCCATTACACTTGCCTCCTATGATTCATTGTGACAACGTTTCTGCTATTGCTCTATCTACAAATCCAGTGTTTCATGCTAAGTCTAAACATATTGAGATCGATTACCATTTTGTGAGAGAATGAGTAACAAGAGGAAATCTCCAGATTCAATATGTTTCCTCATCTAATCAATCTGCTGACATATTAACTAAAGGGCTGTCTGCTCCATTGTTTTAGTTGCATTGTGGAAATCTCATGCTTTGTTCCTACAAGTATGAGATTGAGGGGGGATGTAAGAGTAGTGAAGTGAAGAACAACATCCAAGTGACATATAAATCAATGGCAGAAATGAATGACACTTGTCAAGAGATTACATAGTCTGTTATAAGGTAGTAGGGCAGTTAGGCCTTAGCTTAGTGAGAAAGATTTGTAACAAGATATAACAACTTTTGTAAAACGATGATGAACTATTGAAAAATACAATACGATCAATTCTCTCTCTCTTTCTTAGCTTAATTCTCTCTCTAATTCTTTATTCATTCTTCTACTTTCGTCTACTTTCTTCTACTTTCTGTATCTCTTCTTCAAGGTTTCTACAGTTCTAATACATACCATGCATAAGATCAAAATGTTTCTTTTTAGCGTGAATATCATCAAAATGTTGCACCCAAATAAAAAAAGAGAATATCATCAAAATGTATGATCAATTTGGTTTTATTTTATTAAGTTGTCAAATATTTTAAGCATTTGGATCCAAACTAATATAATCTTGTGGCTAATATGCATTTGGCATTCACATGTTCCCAAAATTGGGACCTTATTAGGAGAGTAGGACTGCACACCATTATTGGTTGAATGAACTTTTGTAATGTGGAAACTGGGAAAGTTACTGTCTTAAGAATATTGAGAATGAATTACACATTGATGAGAGAAGAGACCTTGCATGAGTTTATAAATAAGTTGGATTACTTCTTATATTACCAATTAGTTTTATGGTAAAAACCTAACTTCTTCATGAGATTTATCTTATTTGTTTATACTTGTATTTTTAGTCATTTCTTATTTTGGTTGGACTTCTATTTACTTTTCACACACCTTTTTAATTTTCGACCGTCGGATCGGATGAATTGAAGAAGATCAACGGACATAAATTATCAAGGGGTGTGTGAGAAGTAAAATGAGGTGTGTGGATAACACACCCAATGAAACATAAGGTGATCACCTTGAGAGGCACACGTTGAAACCTTTGTACTTGTTCTTTTTCTTATTTGGTGATGCGATCACCATTACTAGATGTTTCATGTCCATCATACTGTTTCTCTTGGACCTTGACTTTCTGTGCACAAGGGATCTACAAGTTCTTCAAAAACTCTGTCTCGGCCGCGAGTTAGGACCGTAAAACACATCATCCTCTTGGATGTAGCGCTCTAATATCACTTGAATTGCTTGATTATTCCATTCAACTATTCAGGTTTATATACAAGTCTTGATTCCTGAAGTAGGAAAACTAAACTGGCAGGGTTGATTTTATACCATGATTGTAGTGGTTTAAAATCTTGGATGGTTTTAAATATTTCAGTTCTACCTGCTTTTCTTCTTAATTAGGAACAATTCTAAGGTTTGGAACGAATTGTTCCAAACCATTAATTATTTATATATTATAATATATTAAGATACTCCTTTAAAATATTTAACATTTTATATTTTTATATAACGATATATTTACTAAATAAATTGGCATCGAATATCAATTTATATAAAAGCTAGTGCAGAAAATATCGTTTGAAAGATCAAGTTCTCATACAAATCAAAACATTACACAAACATTTTATTGAAGTGCTAATTATTACATGTTATTTATATGGAAATATGAGAAGCATTACAACTAACAAAGTTGAACTTGAGTCCTAGATTTTTTGAAAAATGATTGGAGTACCATATTGTGGTTCAAGAGTGAGAATGTTTGAAGGAGAATGTCTGTAGGCTGGAGAAAGCTCAAACGTAAAGCGCTGTAAAATCATCGTTATAATCGTTTTCACTTCAATCATCGCGAAGTTTTGTCCAATGCACGTCCTGGGACCTGTGCTAAATGGAAAGAATGCTGCTACTTGATTCTTTGTTGCCTTTGAGATCCCTTCAGAAAACCTCTCAGGTTTGAATTCGTGGACATCGTCACCCCAGATTTCTTTGTCATGATGAACAAAAAGGATTGGCACTGCAAGCTGCGTACCAGGTGGTAGAGAAATATCTCCTAGTTTCGTCTCCTTCGTGATCTCTCGGATCGTGAAACTAACTGATGGGTACAACCTAAGAACCTCGTACAGGATCATGTTCACCTGAAGGAGATATTTGGGACTTATGTACATTTTGAGTTGTCTCACAGAAATATTTATGAACTATATGGATAGATGGACCGACGATAATGAACGACATTGATTAGATTGCAAAAATGTAGTAGGTGATTCAGGTTAAGATTTTAAGAAAACAAAAAACATGGTAATAAGAGAGAATACTTACAATTTTCAAGCACTTTAACCCAGCATAGTCTGGTTTGTTGTTCTTAAAGATCGTCACAACCTCTTCTCTCGCACGCATTTGCCAATCTTGATATTTTCCCAATAGCACTAATGTCCAGTTAATCAAATCTCTGGTCGTTTCTTCTCCAGCTAAGTAGAATAATTTGCACTCTTCTATCACTTCTTCGATACTCATCCCGACATCCTTGTCATTGGCATGCTCTTGAATCTCGTTGAAATTGGATTTCAGAAGTATACCCAACAAGTCATCTTCAGTGGCTTCTCCTGCTCTCATTGCCTTCTCTCTTTTGTTAATTATTCCCCTTAACAAGTATCCATTTCCTTGGCGATCTGTTTCATCCTCCTGTTCATTTTAGTTGGTAGAAACCTGGACATTGATGATTATGTTGCAGCTCTTAGTAAAGGTCGTACATTGATGATTATGTTGCAGCTCTTAGTAAATTGTCAAATTTATAATCTAAAACTAGGTTTTCCTTGTGGTTTTCTTTTATAATGAATTTAGTAAGAGAACTGATTTCCGCTCTCCTTTTGACCTCTGCACTGATCTGTTTAATCATGTCCCTTGATTCTCATTTGGCTTACTCAATCACTAAAAAAAAAGATGGGGAGGGCAAGAGGTGAAAATGGGGGTGATTTCTCTAGTTTCACTTGTGTCTAGACAATGCTGTATTGATATTCAAATGCATACACACTTCGTAGACAAAGTTTGAGTTCACCTGAAAAATGGTATGTAGACCGAGTCCAGAACTATGCGTATAAAAGCAGCTTGTTCCTTTTGGAGCTGGAAAAACCTTTGTCCCTCTTCAAAGTTACAACCAAATGCAGCCCGAGAAATCACATCGCCCGCAAAAGCACAAAGATAAGGCCACACATCCACTTCACAAGTCCCCTTTGATGAGAAAAGCATCTCCCATTTGCTCAACATGTTTTCAGAAGCAGCATGAAATGCAGGTAACATATCCTATGTAACAATGTGGTGATACAAACAGAACTGGGTTTAGCATCGAAAAGACATGAAGAAATCCTTCTCTGAAACTTGGTTTTTGAAAGTACATGTTCTTCAAATCCCATGCCAAAACTATTATGTTTACATATTGGTTATGTCCTCAATTTATTTGTGGTGAATAAAAGTGAGACCAAGATATTGCTTATTTACAAAGATTATGTATGACAAAATTCTTGGTTAAGGTAAATCAATTGTAAGACTAACATAAACTAAATTAGCTTAATACATATGCAAACTGTTATTAGTGTACGATAAAAGAAAATAAACGTGCAAAAAATTGAATTTTTTTCCTCTTAGTGTCAAGGACTCAACATGGAACATGTCACATGTAGTTTCGGAGCTGTAGCGTCCCATGTTTCTTTAAGGGCATCTCCTCTACACTGTCAACATTTATGGTCCTTTTGAAAATATGCAGGGGAGCAATACCTCTTTCCATCTAGTCTTTGAATTAACTATTACTTCCATAACTTTGAAATTTCTCAATCTCTGAATATGAGGAGATTCTTAACTTTCTTAGCTGTTTGCAAGAATATATCCACGTTTCTCTGCCTCTTACATAACGTAATTAGACAACATGACATGAGAGATAGAGAGAGGAAGTAGACATATCATTCCCATGAATCCCATGCAAAAATGAGAAATACTTACCTTCATCTTTTCAACGTGGAAAGCTGGGTTGATAATCCTTCTATGTTTGACCCATTTGTCACCCTCGTGGCCTACGAGGCCAGTCGCAAGTAATGAGATGAGTGGGTTTGAATGTGGCTTCTCATACACCCTATACTTTGTAAAAGCTTCCCTCATTAATTCAGCATCAAACAGGATCACACTCGGCATTGGGCCAAGCCAAACGAAAGATTTTCTCCCTGCAAATTAATTTTGGGCAATTAGTAAGCACACAGTTTGAAATTTGTATCAACCTTAGGGGGCTCTCGCAAATCTAAAACTTCAAAATTTTTATAGGACTCTCACAAACAAGTCCTTTTTAATTTTTTGTAGTAACGATATTAGATGAAGGAAGGATAAAGTCTAAGATCTCAGGTACGACCGTAAATGCTTGAACTTTAAATCCCTTGACACAACTAAAATTTTAAAACTCTCTTTCGTGATTAAAAACACAAAGTATATCAAAATATAGGTAGGAACCTCCAGACACAATTGTTACACCTATCTATTATCACACATGACGTTACCAATTAATAGTTAAGAGTTTCCTTTTTATAGTTTGATTCTTGAAATATTCGCATTAATAATTATATATTCTTGTATTTCTTTTTACTTTTTGTAATTAACAGGGTAAATATTAATTAGTAACGTGAACATATGTAGATCCAAAATTAGAGAAGTGTACCGTATTTGTTGAAGATATCATGGAGCAGAGGTAGAACATAAGGCACAATGTCATGTGAGAGCTCCATGGGCTTTGATAGTGCCGCTTTGGTCATCTTGGAGTTGTCATTCAAGTCTCCAATCAAGAGCCTGTAAGAATTTCCAGAAAGACCTTGCTGCCTTAGGTGCCTCTCAAACTTCTTCGGCTTCAACCAAATCCAGTTCACTACTTTCCACCCCAATGCTATTAACCCCACACAAACAATGGAGACGACCATGGAGCTGACTGAGAATTCCATTTTCTTGGAAGTCGACACTATGAGAAAGAGTATGGAGTCAAAGACTCTTAAATAAGAAGGTGATGGCATCGTGGCCGGCCAACTAAATTTTAAATGTCGGGATGTCATCCTTCCTTAAAATTTTGGAGTGTCATTTATTTTTAATTTTTAAGTGCAAAAGTTTGTCACGAAGCGTTTATTTTAGTTTTAATTGTCAGGATGTGAAAAGAATTTTTTAAGTATGAGTAGTCAAGCGATACTATACATGTGATAATTCAAGTGGAAGAAGTGACTCTTTTCCATGTCATTCCACTTCTTTATAACATATGGAGTATCCGTTTGGATAATAAGCACTTAAAAATTTTCTTCTAGATGTGCTAGTCTTGAAGGGTATTTGGGGTCCATAAAAGGGAGGGGATCCTAGGGATCCTCATATCCTAGCCGTTCATTGTACATTGTGCTGCTAGTTTTTGTCAGCTACTATTTGTGTTTAATTTTAAATAAAAAAAAACAAATAATCTTTGACTGTACTATACACGATGAATGGTTAAGATGTGAAGATCATTAAGATTCTCACAAAATGAATCCAGATGGGATCCAGTTCCTCCATAAAAACTTTGGAGTATTGTTTACGTGAAATAATGTGCAAAAGTTGTAATTGTGTGTTCATTTTATTTTTAATTGGTAAAAACAATCTATTCAAAAATAAAAGTGACAAATATGAGTTAGAGTAGTTGGCTATAACATTTTATATGTTTTCTTTCTTTTCGTGTTTGAATTTTCTTTCACATAAATAAGAATAGTTTAGATAAAATAGTTGTCTTACGAAAACTAGCTTAAATAAAATTGTCCTCTTGTCAAAACGATTTTCTTTGGGCAAAATGGTAACGTTAATTGACGTGGTTCTTCGTACCCAAAAAAATCAGGAAAGGGATCCTCTCCGGCTTTAAATTTCCCACCACATTATGCAAAGCTATTAATGGGGATATGAGCAGTTTTTGGTGGGGAGATTGTGTGGACAAGAAGAAGATTTATTGGAGCAGCTGGGGAAGTTTATGCAACCCCAAGTCTGAAGGAGGACTAGGATTTAGAGATATTGAAAGTTTCAATGATGCTCTTCTTGGGAAGCAGTGTTGGAGAATCATTTGCAACCCCGACGCTCTATGGGTCAAAATTCTTAAGGCACGTTACTTTCCAAATTGTGACTTCCTTCAAGCTACCCGAGGTTCATGTCCTTCATGGGCTTGGGTTAGCCTTTTGGAGGGTAGAAAAATGCTGGAAAATGGTGCTTTGTGGCAAATTGGTAATGGTGAAACTGTGAAGGTATGGAATGACAACTGGCTACCCGATATGGATAGACGGAAGCCCACTTCTAAAGCAATTCTACTGGGACGTGCTCCATCTCTTGTGTGTGACTTGCTTGGGAGAGACGACTCAACGTGGAATTTGAGTATATATGAGCATCTGCTAAAGGATGATGATATGAGTCTGATTCGTGCTATCCCGCTTTACTTGTTGGATAGCCCGGATCATCTTATTTGGCCTTGGACGAAAGATGGTGCGTACACAGTGAAGAGTGGTTACTTTTGGGCTATCAAATTTAAAAATCAAAGTACTATTGTCCACCAACACTCTTCTCATGAAGTTGACAAGAAAATATGGAAGTTTGTTTGGAGTGTGAATTTACTTCCCAAGATTTGCAACTTTCTGTGGCGAGCTATATCTTCTTTTCTCCCAACCAAGTTGATCCTATCTCGAAGACATCTTGCAAACAACCCGTGCTACCCTATTTTCCTAGTTGATGACGAGTCGATTGAACACATGCTGCTGCTTTGTCCATGGACTAGGCCGGTGTGGTTTGGCTATCTTTTGAGCTACTTACCGAGCCCACAGTGTATAACCAAGTTTGATAAATGGTTTTTAGGGATGATTGAATCTACTACGGCACCCGACCGTAATCAGCTCATTATTGTTCTTGGAATTACTTGCTGGGAAATTTGGAAAGAAAGATGGAGGGTGTCTTTCAATGATTCTATTCCAAATCTTGTCCAAGTGAACCACAAAAACCAATTGTCCGTTGTTGAAACTATGAGTCACCAATCTAGATTTAGTCACACTCGTGGGAATAGTGGGAATGGAGTGCAGGTTGCATGGTGCCCTCCCATATATCCCATGATCAAAGTTAATGTAGATGGCGCTGTAAAGTTGTGAATGATAATGAATGATGTATTGGATTACTTGTGTTGTAAGCCACTTGTTTATCGAGTTGTTAACAACATAAGTAATCTGATAATCCTAGTAAAATAAGGATTATGGAGTCTTAGCCTTTACAATTGACCTCAAAGAAATCTAATAGGTTTCTCTACAAAGATATAGAATCATGGTAGGACTCAATCACTTAAGTGTTAGGTTTGATTTTCGTAGCTATTAATAGGCCGGCTAATAAGGAACCCCAATGGTGTATGAATACTAAGTTAAGTCTTTGCTTCCATACGTTGAATTCCTCAGAGAGGGATATTTTGGAGTATTGGAAGGAGAAAGCAACCTTGTGAACTCATCTTTTGTCATCCGGAAGAGCCATGTCTTATGTATTCTACAGATAAGTTCAATATATTTAGTTCATCTCTATTTTATATTGATTTGATTTATTCGTGATCCTAATGTCTTGTTGTTGTGATTTCAGAATATGTCTTACATGTGGTATTAGAGCCACACAACAAGCTTAGGGTTCGGATTAAAGGTAATTGTTTGATTACAAAATATTGTTTTGGTTGGCTGATTTCTATCTTTGTAGCCTATGAAATCAGTTAACATGCTTCCGCGATTCTGAATTCTGTATCAATTAAATTTTCGTAAGTATATTATGTTTATATTTTACGGAAAAATAAAAGTATATATTTATATATATAATCAAAGTCACTATTGTTCTAGTACTTCACCGTTAAAAGAAAACTTCTTTTCGAATTGTAATATGACATGGTTTCTTTTCGCATTGCAAGAAATTTTGTAAACTAAGTGCAGGTTTTGATGGCGTATGACCAAACCTAATATTGGATGATATTTGGATTTATTATATAATCCTCTTATTATTAGTTGCGATAATTCTATTTCATTATTATTAAAAAAAAACAAAGGTGAGATAGGGCGTTGAAACAGTACGGGGTCTTCTCTCTTGCGTGTGAAGTCTTTAGCTATCTTGCAAACTTCTCAATAGCGGCCTTTTGGATCTATTCAGCGTTATCCGGTAAGAATTCTCTTCGGACAAGTATGAAATCGTGCAATTTAATCTACCTAATTTGATTGAGTTAAAATTAAGCTTTTGGTTCCAACTAAATTGAGAATTTGATAAAGATGATGTTGATTCTGGGCAATCAACCTTTATTTTCTTATGGCTTTTTATTCAAAATGGTCATTGAGATTTGCATCATCTATAAGTTTGGTATCTGAGATTTAAAATCAATAGAAGTAGTCCCTGAGATTGTGCACCATCCATGATTTTGGTCATTCCGCTGAAGCTTTTGGCCGGAAGTTTGGGCAATTTTCAAAGCTTCGTAACTCAATCGTTTCTTAACCATGTCGGGCAATCATTGGGCTTCCAAATTGATATAATCTTATTCTACACTTTCCTATCTTCATTTTGATATATTATGGGTCAAATTTGGTTAAGAAACGATTGAGTTACGAAGCTTTGAAAATTGCCCAAAACTTCAAGCCAAAAGCTTCAGCGGAAGGACCAAAATCATAGATGGTGGACAATCTCAGGGACTACTTCTATTGATTTTAAATATTAGGGACCAAACTTATGGATGATGCAAATCTCAGGGACCATTTTGAATAAAAAGCCTTTTCTTATTTATTTCTCCATCTCAAAATTGATTGAGTTGAGAATTTACACTTCCGCTTATTGCGTTGCAAAATTTAGCTTTAAAAAAAAATTAAAATTTTTGGTTAGTTTGCTTATATTTTGGACTATTCTCTGTTACGAATCTGTCAAATTATTAAATTAATCCTTGCAGATGTGAGTTTTTTGGATGAATATTGTATTGGATCTCATGCTTTCATGATTTAAAATTTGGATTTAGCATTGTTAATTGATATGTTCTAAAAGGCATTCCCAATTTGTTTGTTTTTTGATGAACCGATAATGGTAAAACTATTTGGAACTTACGTATATATAAACAAATTATTGTGTTATGAAGGATTGCTTGCTGTCATAATTTGATGTGTGGTTAATTACATTATTATGAATTGCTTTCAGTCGGTACGTATTGGGGTTTTCAATTTTTTTATAAATTGATTCAATTGTAGTGTGAATTATTTCTTGCCTAAACTTTTGTCAAAATTAATCATGCTAAATTATAGTCTTTTGAAACTATAATATTATAGGGGTATGACTCCATTAAAGTCTCATTAAAAGGAAACCCATTCATGTCAATAACCTGGGCTTGATAGACTTCCATAACTCCAAATATTATGAAATTCGGTCATGTTGTAAAATTAAATGGATTGTAGACGCTGGTATTTTTCCACGTTTTTTGGACAAAAAATGGATTTATGGTAAATTTTTAAGTGTGATACCATGTTGCTGGAATTCTGCAGACGTCTGCAAAATAGTCTGTTTGTGATATTATTTAGATATATCAATATAACTCATAAATTCATGAAATTTTAGTATGATATACATTGAGATGTTTATTTTAAACATACAAATTTTCACGAGCATTGGTTTGAAAATGAATTATTGGTGAATTCTTAATCTCGAGACTGTTCTGCAGAATTTATGCGGTTTCTGCAGCACATTCCATTTAGATTTTAATTTTAACCCACTTGTAAAATCGAAAAAATTATGGAACTTTGGGTGCCAGTAAATTTATATGTCTACTTCATTTTTGAAAAAGTTGCATATCAGATGAACAATGAATATCAGGTGAATTTGTAATCTCATTTCTGTACCGAACATTTTCTGCAGTTTCTAAAGAACCTCTCTTTTTGAATTCATTTTTGGCTAGCCTATAAAATTTTAAAAATC